GGTGAGGACTGCGCCGCAGGACCACCAGAGTCAGAAGCCTCCTCAACTGGGACAACCGACGGGAGAGGGGAGACGTGGGACACACCAGAGAGGGCAGAACGGGGAGGGGGAGGGGGAGGGGCAGGGACCACAGGGGAAGGAGGGGCCAGAAACAGGGGGGGGGTAACCGGGGGACCGCGGTGGGGGAAGCGACGGAAGAAGGAGATGGACTCGTCAAAGGTAACGTCGCGAGAATGAAACAAGCGGTGAGACGGCGGGTGGTAGAAGTGCCTGTCGGATGCGTCAAGGGGAAAACCTAGGAAGACGCAGGGAAGGGTGCGGGCAGTGAGCTTGTCCGTGCCGGAGGCACGAACGTGAGCAAGGCAGCCCCAGACGTGGAACGCAGACGCGTCACCAGGAGTCCCGGTCCAGAGACGGGTCGGCAAAACCTGCGGCCGCTGGGGGTGCGGCCACAGGTTAAGCTGGTGAGCAGCGTAGCGCACGGCGAACGGCCACAGAAAATGGGGTGCACCGGCATGGATCATGGAGGTGCGAGCAACCTCCATAACCAAGCCGATGCGTCGCTCAGTGACCCCATTCTGCTGTGGGGAGTCCGGCAGGGTGAACGTCTGGGTGATGCCCTCCGCATGACAGAAGCGACCAAGGACACCTGAGGCAAACTCGCCACCACGGTCTGAGTGAAGGCGCAAGACACGGAGACCTCGGTGGACACGCGCAGAGACAAGCCAGGGGATGAGAGCGTCAGGCACGTCGGCCTTCCGCTCAAGGGGAAAGACTGTGGTGTAGCGAGTGAAGTCGTCGACAAGCACGAGGAAGTAGCGCTCTCGACGCGGCCCATGGACGGGGGCGGGGCCCCAGACGTCCATGTGCAGGGTCTGCAGCGGAGCGGCGGTAGGGGGAAACGAGGAGGAGTGGGGGGCACGGAGAAGCCGACCCTCGACGCAAGGAGCAAGGCGGGGCGGGGGAGGAGGGAAAAGGGGGGGAGGGAACCAGGGAGACCAAGGACGAGACCGTGCTGGGACATGTAACGCAGACGCGGGAGCGCAGGGTGACCTAGACGGTGGTGCCAGAGGAGAGTCTGGTGAGTGAGAGACCGACAGGAGTAGGCAGCAGCAACCAAGGAAGACGCAGCCACCTGGAGGGGCGCCCCAGCCGGGGGGGTCACGGTGTCCAGGGTGAACAGGCCGGACACGGGGTCCCGGGGGAACGTGGACAGAGGGGCACCTGTGGCAGCCTCGGTACAGACAGCATACCGCTTGTGACCAGGGAACGTAGTGGTGACGCCAAGGTCCTGGAGGCAACCGACACCAACTAGGTTCCTGGAGAACGAGGGGATATGCAGACCTGTGAGAGAGCCCGAAGGAACTGCCGGACAGGGAAGGGTGGTGGAACTGCGGGCGACTACCGTACCGCCGGAGGGGTCAGCAAGAGAAACAGCAGCAGCAACAGGAAGCGGCGTCAGTGTGGTGAAGTCGCGGAAGAAGCACCAGGAAGCGCCAGAGTCCAAGGTGAAGGAAAGCGAAGCAGTGGCGTCCGGCGACGGGGCGACGGCGGAGGCACCAAGGCTAAACAAAGCAGGGGCTTCTACGCCTAACGCAGGAGGTGAGGCTAAGCTAGGCATACCTACACTAGACGACAATAAGTAATAAGCGGGAAGCACACTAGAGTCATCAGCATACATCACATGCAGAGCAGAAACAATGGCATCCATGTCCAAGTCAAAAATTGGAATACTACGACTAAGCAAACTGTGCCAGTCCGGGAGGTTTGTCGACGGGCCGAAGCGCTGACGAAACAGGTCGTCCAGGCGACGAAAGCAGCGAGGAGTGGTATGACTGGTCTTACCGCAAACGAAGCCGCGACTAGGACCGGTCTGGATCTGGTACTGGCAACGCACGCCTCCCGAACCACCACCCGGTACACCATCACGCGCACGACCACCTCCAGCTCCAGGCCACCCGGGCGGGAGGACACTCGCCTGCCTCGTCTGCGGCGGCTGCTGCGACGGCTATGGTTGCTGCTGCGACTGCGGAGGCGGCTGCTCAGCAGGACCGGGCAGGGTCCCCTCGTCCGCTCCAGGACCAGACGACCCGACTCCACCACCACCCCCACCTGCACCCCCTCCTCCGCCGCCGCGCCCAGCCTTGGGGCGGCGGCCCTTCCCTGGACGGAACTGCACGGCAGCAGCAGTCTCAGCCACAGCGGCAGAACCGTCGGAGAAGGTACACTGAGCGGGGGCACAACCCTGAAAGATAGGGACCGGCACGGTACCGCTCGCCTGGGCGATGGAGCGGTGGCGGGTCTCAATAACAGTCAGGGTGTCTACAAATTCGGTGAGGGTGAGCTCACCGGGGTGGATACTAAGGAAGCGGTCGCGGGCGGCGGCAAGGCGGTCAGGGAGGCGGGTGGCAAGCAGGTAGAGGGTAGAGGTAATGGGCGGCTGGTGGGCTCAAAGTTGTGCGTCAGTGCAGGCCGCGCGCCAGGTCTCATCTATCGTGCGCAGGTGGGCAGCCAGGTCAGCGACAGTGGGGAAGGACGCAAGATCAAGAAAGAGCAGCGGGAGGATCAGGCGACCCACCGAGGCAGCAGGAGGGGTGGAATAGCGCTTGAGGACAGCATCTAAGTAAGCCTGGGCGGTAGTGGTGGACCTAAAGCGAGGGCGCTCAGACGGGGGAAGGGCATTGCTAATGGCAAGCTGGGCGACAGCGTATCGGGAAAGCCAGACAGAGCGTGCAAGGGCAGCGGCTACAGCAGACTCGCGCTCAGCGGGTGTGGGGTCAGCGGGCAGCACAACAGGGGGGTCTGGGCAGGGGAGCATACTGTCAAGGTGTGCAGAAAGCGGGTGGCCATCCTGCCGCTGGCCAGTGAGGTGGCGACGGAGGTCGGCGAGCCACGCCTCGAACTCCAGAGGCTGGCCTTCAGCGTCGAAGCGAAGCTCCGCCGCCATCAGGAGCAGTGCAGGACTGGACAGTGCGGCAAAGGGCGGTGCGGGGCAAGGCAGTGCGGTGCAATAAGGTACCGTGCAGTGCAGTGCGGTGCAGGGCGGTGTAGTGCGGTGCAGGGCGGTGCAGTGCAGGGCAGTGCAGGGCAGTGCGGTACCGTGCCGGGCAGGTGAGGGGGGAACCGTACCATGGAGGGTGTAGGGCCGGAGGAGGCACGACGAGCGGGCCGCACTCAGCTCGGGGCAGGACGGCCGCGGGGCCGACGGGGCGGGCGCAGGGCCGGGTGGGACAGGCGCGGGACCGGCTGGGACAGTCGCAGGCCGGTTGGGACGCGCAGGGGCCGGCTGGGACGGGCGCGGGTCGGCTGGGACGGGCGCAAGGCCGGCTGGGACGCGCGCGGGCCGGCTGGGACGGGCGCGGGCCGGCTGGGACAGGCGCAGGGACCGAGCGGGCTAGGGCGCGGGGGTCGGCTGGGACGGGCGCGGGCCGGCTGGGACGGGCGCAGAGGCCGAGTGGGCAGGGCTCGGAGGTCGCGAGGGCGGCCGTGGGGCCGGCTGGGACGGGCGCAGGGGCCGATTAGGATGAGGGCAGGGGGGCCCCTAGGGTAGCGCGGGGGCCGCTAGGGCAGGCGCTAGGCCGGCTAGGACGGGCGCTAGGGCGGGCACGGGCGAAGGGGCCGCTAGGACGGGCGCTAGGGCCGAGGGGAGGTGGCGCGCAGGGCGCGATTCGGGCGGGCGCGGCTAGGGCGGGCGCGACTAGGGCGGGCGCGACTAGGGAGGGTAGGTCCTAGAGCGGAAGCGTGGGTGAGCGGGACCTACCTACTGCTGATACCATGTCAGAAACCCAGCCACTAACCACTGGATTAAAAGGGTTTGTTAAATAGCGGGTACGTGCGCCCATAGCCCCCCAGGCTCTGCACCTGTGGCCCTTCCCCGAGGATCTCAAGGTCAAACATGTGTATCTCTTATACTTTGCATAGACTGTATAGGGTCATCTCTTAGAGGGTACAATACTTAGATATATTCCTGTACTCTCTCTCTCTCTAATCATTCATTCAGTTCCTAACATGGAACATCAAAGCCAAAGGTCTTGGGTTCATTTCCCAGTGCCAGCGCTGCAGAGGCGCTCGTGTCTTCCACCTATCCCAGCGCGGGGGGGTGTGTCGAGTGACCCGCTGGGGTTGCCCTTGAGATCCTCGGGGAAGGGCCACAGGTGCAGAGCCTGGGGTGCTATGGGCGCACGTACCCGCTATTTAACAAGCCCTTTTAACCCAGTGGTTAGTGGCTGGGTTTCTGACACTGTGCACTTTTGTTAATGAAAGTGGCTCGAAGAATGATCCCTTATAATAAGAGTTATTATTTTGGAAACAGAGAAAAACCCTGAAAAACCAGAGTTAGTGCTCCAAGTAACCCTGAAAATCAGAGTGGCAAAGATTTCACACCTGAAAACCAGAGTAGTGAAAAACCAAAGATCAGTACTGTCGTGGAGCCTTTTTCCTGTAGTTTCTGACCAACGGTGGAACTCGACTGATGAAACATGTTACGAACTCGCTAATTCTGATTGTTTATTTTGTCACTGACCGTACATGTTATCGAGGCCCCTGGTACTGAGTGCCGATGTATTTTCCCTTATTTGTGCCCTTAGCAATTGCATTGTGTAACGTTTTCAATCTGCCTATTATTGATGAATTACTCGCAACAGGGTGTTCATATCACGGATGTTAAACCTATTACTGAACACTGTACAGCGTTGTAGCCCGTCAAGAAATGGCATTGCTCCTGCGAACCCCATCTTGGACAATCCCTAGGTTCCTTACTCCTGCAAACCGTATCAACTCGTACTGAACCCCGTAAATTGCGACCTTGAGGGTGTGTCAGTTTGCGTCACTTTTACGTTCCACGCCCCGTCAAGGCAGGAGCTCCTAGCGGGATGTTCAATGCCCGGTACTGAAACGGCGTCGTTTCTGCCTGGTTTTAAAACACGCCCTCGTAAGGTCACACATCCCGACCTCACAAGATCTGACCCTCCGCGATAGCCAACCAGCTATCTCTACCTTGTTGGTCGTAGCCTCTCACGTCGAGCCAGCAGGTCGTGACTGCTATGCCGTGTAAGATAGTGAATTAGCTACCTGTAACTGTATGTTCCACGCCCTTAGCTTCCTGGGCTCTAGCGGAGGCTAGTTGAATTGACGATCATGGACGTTGACGGTGACGGAGAGCAGCGGATGCGGTTCAGCCTAGACGGAGATTTTGACGACGGTCAGTTTATCAACGGAGAGTTTTTCTCCTCCTCGCGAAGGCAGGGCCGCCAGCAGACGCGCGACGATGTCGTTTACGGTGTCTTTAACGAAGCGTCTGATGACGAGGATGACGACGACGAGGAGGGATTCGGCGGTGGGGGAAAGAGACGGAGAAAAAAACGGCGAGGAAAAGACGATCTGATGGGGAAAGGCGATTTTACGAAACCCGTTAACTTCGTCTCGAAAGGAACTGTGGATCCGAATCTGGATAAGGATGCTGTCGAGGAACGACCGGGATTGGGAAGCAAGCCGCAGGAGACGCCGGAGGACGAGGATCGGAGCGGATTGGGTCGGACGGGTCTCGGGTTCGGCGGAGCAGGCCTGGGATTCACGCCCGGGAATGCCGAACCTGACCGGCCAGGTTTGGGAGCCAGGGGGGGGAAGGAGGAAGGCGAGGAAGAGGAGGAGGAAGCGGATCCGTTAGCGAAAACTGCGTTCGGCCAGCGGCTAAGGGAGCGAGCGGAGCAGAGGAGGGAGATGGAGAGAGAACGAGCTAAGCAAGAGAAGCAGGAGGCGTCGTTTTTCGCGCAGCAAAAGGCCAACAGAGGGGCTGCTGGGGGGCTGTTTGACTCTGGTGGGGGAGGAGGAGGGGGAGGGGGAGGAGGGGGGAGGGGGGGTGGTGGTGGTGCTCATGGTGTGGGGACGTTTGAGAAACACACTAAGGGAATAGGGATGAAGCTTCTAGAGAAGATGGGGTACAAAGGAGGCGGCCTGGGGAAAAACCAGCAGGGAATTGCAAAGCCGATCGAGGCGAAACTCCGGCCTAAGAACATGGGCATGGGCTTTAACGACTTTAAGGAAAAGGAGGTCGGGTTACCACCCCCGCCGTCCGGGAAAGAGGGTGACGGGGTGGGGGGGGAAGGGGAGGGGGTGGCGGTGGAGGTGGTGGAGAAGAGGGGGAGGACGAAGCTATGGAAGAAGAAGTTTGCCGGGAGGAGGAGGGAGTACAAGACGGCTGCTGAGCTTCTAGAGGAGAAGCAGGCCGAGGGGAGGGAGGTGACTCAGACCATCCTGGACATGCGGGGAGCCCAGGTGTGTTGTTGTGCGTGCTAGCTTCTGAGTCGGTTTGACACAGGGTATGCTTGAGTCGACTTAGAGGAGAAGCAGGCGGAGGGGAGGGAGGTGACCCAGACAATCCTGGACATGCGCGGAGCCCAGGTGCGTTGCTGTGCGTGCTAGCTTCTGAGTCGAATTACAGCTGGTGTGCTTGAGTCGACATAGTGGGGAAGCAGAGGGGAGGGAGGTGACTCAGACCATCCTGGACATGCGCGGAGCCCAGGTGCGTTCTGTATGCTGGCGAATCTGGACCGTTGGTTTGTTGGGTGTGTGTCATTTGAGCCATCTAAATGTGTCGCCTCTCTTTTGACACTGCAGGAGGACGACACCCTGATGCCGGAGCTGCAGCACAACCTGCGCCTCGTGGTTGACTTAGCAGAAAAGAACCCCATCTCTGCTCTCCCTGCCCCCATTTTTTCCCTGCCTGCTGGCTGCTCGTTCCATTCAGGTCCGCGTGTTGACCAACCTCGACCGACTAAATGAGGAGCAGAAGCTGCAGGAGGATGACACCCCCATGCCAGAGCTGCAGCACAACCTGCGCCTCGTGGTGGACCTAGCCGAAGCAGACATCCAAACGATTGACAAGCGCCTTCGCTTCCAACGAGACTCACTCACCGCACTCAAGCAAGAGCGCGATCGCGCACAGGAGAGGATGAAGCAGCAGGCTCAGCAACTCATTGACCTTCAAAACATCGTTGGCGTGCTCGAGAAAGTTCTGTCGTCTGCCCCGCCGCCGTTGCCGCCCCCGTCTACGGTGTCTGCAGAAGCTCTGGCTCAGGATTCGCACGCGATCGCGACATCTGTCGCGACTCCGTTGGCTGCGCTGAGACGGCTGCGGGAGCAGCATCCGGAGGATTATAAGCTGTATAACGTGGCGGCGGTGGCTTTAGGTTTTGTACTGCCCCGCCTCGCGCCGCTTTTCCGCACCTGGAACCCCCTTGCCCACCCCTCCCACGGCCATGCTGTTCTCTCCTCCTGGCGCTCTGTGCTTGCAAGGGAGGCAGGAGGAGGGAGAGGAGGAGGTGAGGGTGGGGAAGAGAGTGGGGCGATCTTTGCTGACGTGGCACTTGCCGATTCGGTGGCAGACCCTGGAGCAGCAGCAGGAGGGGTGGGAGGAGCGCCTGCTGAGATGGATCCCTACGCGCGCCTTGTCGCAGATCTCGTCCTGCCAGCTGTCAGATCCGCAGTGGTCAATCTCTGGGAGCCTCGGGAGCCTGAGCCTTTGCTGAATTTCCTCGACACATGGCGTGCTCCTGTGCTGCCATCTGTCCTCCTGAGAACGATCCTCGCGCACCTGGTGTTCCCGAAGCTGGCAGCCACGGTGGAGGCGTGGGACCCGAGGCTAGAAACCGTACCTGTCCACCAGTGGCTGCACCCATGGCTACCGTACCTAGGCTCGCAGCTCGAAACCCTCTACCCGACCATCCGCTTCCGGCTCGGGTCAGCCCTGACCGCTTGGCACCCCTCCGATTCCTCCGCTCTTGCGATGCTCGCACCATGGAAATCAGTGTTTGATGCTGCTAGCTGGGATACTCTGGTGAGCAGATCCATCGTCCCCAAACTCATTCACTTGCTGCAGACGGAGTTCCTGGTGAACCCGCAACAGCAGCAGCTGGAGCCGTTTCATTGGGCCATGTCATGGGCTGGTGTGGTCCCCACACGCCACCTCATCGCCTTGCTGGACACTGCCTTCTTCCCCCAGTGGCACCAGGTGCTCTACCATTGGCTGTGTGCAAACCCTAATTTTGATGAGGTTACGAGGTGGTATCTGGGTTGGAAAGCGCTGTTTCCTGCGGAGCTTTTAAGCTCGGAAAGAGTGAGGCAGCAGCTGAATGTGGCTCTAGATATGATGAATCAGGCTGTAGAGGGGATGCCGGTTTTGCAACCCGGTGTGAAGGAGAACGTCTCTTACTTGAGAGTCTCGGAGCAGCAGGCTTTCGCAGATGGAGCCGGGGCAGGTGGAGGTACAACTGGTGCAGGTGGCACTGCTGCTGGTGGTGCTGGTGCTGGTGCTGGTGCTGGTGCTGGTATAGCAGCAGGTGCGGGGGGTAGAGCAGGTGCAAAGGGCACAGGAGTGGGAGGGGCTGGAGGCACGAGGGGGATTCAACACCTGGAGGATGAAAAGGAGCTCTCGCTACGAGAGGTCGTGGAGCACTTTGCTCTGCAGAATGATGTGAAATTCCTGCCGAAACCGGGGCGCATGCACGAAGGCGTGCCAGTGTTTTCTTTTGGCACGGTCAGCCTTGTGATAGACCCATGGAAGCAGCTGCTGATGGCGCAAGATGAGAAGCTTGTGTGGGTGCCTGTGTCCCTGCAACAGGTGTTGGATATGCACAGGAAGAGAGGGGGCAGGTGGGCTTAAGCGGGTTACTGTATGGAGTTGATTGATTACGACAAGACTCTTCAAGAAGTCTGCAGAGCAGGCGTCATAGTATTGCAAATCTCAAAGCATACAGCACGCTAAATTGCAATGCAAGTTACAGTGGCGGAAAAAACTGTCTGGATGTTTTGTCGAAGTGAAAGAATGATCAGGAAAGTTACATACAAGGGAATATAACCTAAATGGGTTGTACTCCCTAAGGCACAACAACCCTATGTAGTCTATAACAATCATAAAATATATGTTTGACACACCCCCTAGACTGGATAGGTGTAGTGCCTGATGAGAAAGAAGCAGCTCAGGTTGGCACTACTAGTCCAGCCTCTGAGACAGGGGTCTAACGACCAGTCAAATGAGTACAGACAAGGCAAGAGCAAGACCAGGGTGGCACTACTAGTCCAGCCACTGGGAAGAGGCCACACAAGGCCAGTCAGGATAATATATATAAAGGTCTGTACACAATCAAGGTCCTAGCAAGTGAGAGGCTACAGGAACGAGACCTAGCTGTACACAGTGCCGCTAATGATCTTTAGGCGCAAGCGCCTTAGTAAAGATATCAGTTGTGTTGGCACTGGAGGCCAAGTGTACCACACGAGCCTGGCGACGCTGCTGCAGCTCGCGCTGGAGGAAGTACCACGGCTGGATGTTCTTCGCTCTGCCCTCAAGTCGTGGCTCGACACAGGAGGATCATGGCTCTGTTGTCAGCGTACAGAACCGGGGCAGAGCTAGGCCGCTCACCCAGGTCGGTGAGCAAGAAGGTCAGCCAGCGGAGCTCCTGTGCCGCCATGGCACCAGCGTAGATCTCAGCCTCACAGCTAGACTGGGCAACAGACGAGGAGTGGGTGGTGTCAAATGTAACTTAGGTTGTTACTGTAGACTATACTGGATTGTGCCTTAGAGGGTACAACACCCTAGTCTATATATCCTTGTACACACACATTCTAGTTCAATCATTTTCTTTCTGATATGGTATCATAGTAGGTTACATCCCCCCCTAGCCCGCTCACGCTTCCGCCCCTACGTTCCTAGCCGGCCCCCTGGCCGTCGCGCTCGTCCCTAGCCGGCCCCCCTGGCCGTTCGCGCCCGTCCCTAGCCGGCCCCCTGGCCGTTCGCGCTCGTCCCTAACCGCCCCCCTGGTCATCCGTGCCTGTCCCTAGCCGGCCCCTGGCCGTCGCACTCGTCCCTAGCCGGCCCCCTGGCCGTCGCGCCCGTCTCTAGCTGGCTCCCTGGCCGTCGCGCCCGCTCCTAGCCGGCCCCCTGACCGTCGCGATCGCTCCAAGCCGGCCCCCTGACCGTCGCGCCCGTCCCTAGCCGACCCCTGACCATTCGCGCCCGCCCCTAGCTGGCCCCCTGGCTGTCGCGCTCGCCCTTTGCCGGCTTCCTAGCCGTCGCGCCCGTCTCTAGCTGGCCCCCTGGTCGTCGCACCCGCTCCTAACCAGCCCCCTGCCCGTCGCGATCGCTCCTAGCCGGCCCCTGACCGTCGCGCTCGCCCCTAGCCGGCTCCCTGGCCGTCACGATCGCTCCTAGCCGGCCCCCCTGACCGTCGCGCTCGCCCCTAGCCGGCTCCCTGGCCGTCACGATTGCTCCTAGCCGGCCCCCCTGACCGTCGCGCTCGCCCCTAGCCGGCCCCCTGGCCGTTCGCGCTCGTCCCTAGCCAGCCCCCTGGCCGTTGAGCCCCTCCTAGCCGGCGCCCTGGCCGTTTCGCGCCCGCTCCTCGCAGGCCCCCTGGCCGTTTGAGCCCGCCCCTAGCCGTCGCGGCTGCTTCTAGCCGCCGTCGCGGCCGCTTCCTGCCATCCCTCGGCTGCCCCTAGTCATCCCGGCCGCCCCTCGCCGTCGTGGCCGCCCCTAGCCGCCGCCGCTGCCGTCTCCAGCCGCCTCACGGTCGCTCCTGCCGTCGCGGCCGCCCCTCGCCGCCGTCGCGGCTGTCCCTGGCCGCCGTCGCGGCTGTCCCTGGCCGCCGTCGTGGCTGCCCCTGGCTGTTGTCACGGCTATCCCTGGCCGCTGTTGCGGCTGTCCCTGGCCGCCGTCACGACCGTGTCTACTTGCCGCCCGCCGGCCGGCCCCTGCATTTGCGTCGTCGCCGGCCCGCCGCTGCCTCGGGTTCGGCCCGTTCTTCCCGATCAGCACCGCCCTCCGAACCCCCCCCGGTACCGTACTGCATCGCTTTGCACCGCACTGCACCGCTTTGTACCGTACTGCACCGCACTGCACTGCATTGCACTGTACTGTACCGCACTGTACCACACTGCACCGCTTTGTACCGCACTACACCGCACTATACCGCACTGTACCGTACTGCACCGCACTACACCGCACTGCACAGCACTGCACCGCAGTGTCCTACTCTACACTGCCCTCTATTGTCACTCATGGCGGCGGTGCTTTGCTTTGACGCTGAGGGCCAGCCGATTGAGTTTGATGCGTGGCTTGCGGACCTCCTTCGCCATCTTACAGGTCAGCGGCAGGATGGCCACTCGCTGTCTGTCCATCTTGATGGTAACCTCCCCTGCCCTCACCCCCCCGCTACCCTTTCTCCTGACCCCTCGTCCGCTGAGCGTGAGTCCGCTGCAGCCGCTGCCGTTGCTCGCTCTGTCTGGCTGTCTCTTGACGCGTCTAACTGGCACTTCTACCACCCGCCGTCTCACACGTTCTTTCACTCCCGTGACGTCACCTTTGACGAGTCCGTCTCCTTCTTCCGCCGCTTCCCCCACCGAGGTCCCCCGGTTAACCCCCCCCTGTTCCTGGTCCCCCCTTCCCCGGTCGTCGCCGCCCCTCCTCCTCCCCCTCCTCGTCCTACCCCCTCTGATGTGTCCCACGTCAACCCACTTACGTCGGTTGTACCGGTTGAGGAGTCTACTGACTCAGGTAGTCCTACAGCGCAGTCCTCGCCGCCTGCCCCTTCTCAGATGTCCCCTCTTCTGCCGCCTCCGCAGCCGCAGTCGCCACCGCTGTCGCAGCCGTCGTCACCGCCGCCGCCGTCGTTGCGACCGCCGCCGCCGCAGTAGTTGGTTGCCTCTGGGGGTGCTGGAGTTGGGGTGGGTACTAGTCCTAGGACTCCTGTCGTGGCTTGTCCCGGCAGACCTAGGGGTGGTACCGGTGCTCGAGGGGTTCTGAGCTCTGGGGGTGTTTCTTCTGGGGGTGCAGGTGTGGAGTGTTCTAGAGGTAGCCGCCCGGCAGCTTGCGGTCCCCGTATCGGTGTCGTACCGCCGCAGCAGCAGTCCCCGCCGGTGTCCGCTCTTTGCCTGCTTGGCCTTCCGTCCCCTGACCCCGTGCCCATGCCTCCTCCTCCTGTCTCCGACCCTGTGTTCCCTCCTCCGGACTCGTCTCCGGCCCGTTTCCCCCCTCGTTCCCCTCCTGTGTCCCCTCCTCTTTCTCCTGACCCAACTCCCCCGTCTCACGTCTGGTCTCGCCGTCCCTCCCGTGCTCGACCTGTCTCTCCTGTCTCGCGTTCTCACCCTATGTTGCTTCGTTCCCACGCGTCCCATCCTCCCCTTCTCCCGTCGCCCCCGTCCCGTCCTCCCTTGTCGTTGCTCCCCTCCCTCTATCTGACTATCTGCGTGCCGCTCGTCCTCTTGTTCCTCGGGTCCTTGCCTCTCTCGTTACCGACCCGTCTGTTCCGGTTTCGAGCCTTGACGCCCTTGTCGCTGCGGTCGCTGACTTCGCCTCTACCCGCCGCCTTGACTACGCCACCGCTCTGGTCTCTGACCCTGCCTGTCTTCCGTCTGCCGGGGGTGCTCCTACCCTTGGCAGTGACGTCCTGGAGGACCGCCAGTACGAGCTTGCTTTCCTGTCCGAGGCTGCTCCCCATCTCTGTTCCATGCTTCTAGTCCCCGAGGGTGACCCCGACGCTTTCGACATCCCGACCCCTCGCACTTACGTTGAGGCGGTCTCGGGACCCTGGGCCTCTCAGTGGATAGCTGCCATGGAGCAGGAGATGGCATCTTGGAGTTCCACCGGCACCTACGTCGACGCAGTTCCCCCACCTGGGGTGAACGTAGTTGATTGCCGCTGGCTCTTCAAGGTGAAGCGCCCTCCTGGAGAGCCGCCTGTGTTCAAGGCGCGCTACGTGGCTAGAGGTTTCAGTCAGCGTGAGAGGGTCGACTTCTTCCAGACCTTCGCTCCGACCCCGAAGATGACTTCTCTTCGGGTGCTACTAGACGTAGCAGCGCAGCGTGACTATGAGCTTCACTCCCTCGAAATCTCCACTGCGTTTCTTCAGGGCAGTCTACATGAGCAGGTCTACCTGCGTCACCCTCAGGGCTTCACTGGTACCTTCCCTCCTTGGACCCAGTGGCTCCTCCGGCGTCCCGTCTACGGCCTGCGGCAGGCTCCCCATGAGTGGCACGACACGATGCGTGCTACGCTTGCTGACCTGCAGTTCTTTCCGTCCTGTGCAAACCCCTCGCTCTTCGTTCGAGCTGGCCAGACTCTGTTCTACATCCTTATGTGCGTAGATGACCTGGTCTTTGCCACGGCAGACAGGGACGCACTGGCCTGCGTGAAGGCAGAGCTGCTGAAGAGACACACCTGCACTGACGTTGGAGAACGGCGCCACTACATTGGCTTGCAAATCTCCAGGGACAGCGCAGCCCGCACCATCACTTTGACTCAGTCACACTTGGTGCGCCAGGTCCTTCAGAGGTTCGGTCTTCAGTTCTCCTCCACACAGCCTACTCCTCTGCCTCTAGACCACAGGCTCTCCGCTCCAGAGGAGTCAGTAGAGGCCAGTGGTCCTTACGCAGAGCTGGTGGATTGCCTCATGTAGCTGATGACTTGTACGCGCCCAGATATCGCATACCCTCTCAGCATCCTGGCTCGCTTTGTGGCCACAGGCAGACACCGACCTTAGCACTGGTCTGCCGCTAAGAGGGTTTTGCGTTATCTTGCAAGTACATCGGGCATGGGGTTAGTGCTAGGAGGACGTAGGCCAGTGGTCCTTACTGGACACACAGACGCTTCGTGGGCAGACGATGCTGAGACCCTCACAGGGCTACTGCGTCAGCCTTGGTTCAGCGGCTGTTCGTGGCTGCAGCGGCCTTCATGGCAGACTCGGTGCTGCGCTTTGACGCGGAGGGTCCGCCGGTTGAGTTCGACTCATGGCTCGTTGACCTCCTCCGTCACCTCACTGG